TCTGGCAATCATGCGAACTTGCGAATTTATTCTCAACTTCAACCTCATGATTTTTACGGTTTTATTGATTAGGCTCTATCATTGATCTGGTATTTGAATAAAAGTTTTGTTGCTAACCCCATTTGAAGCGTTGTTAGTTGATTTGTTAGTTTGTTGTTGGTATCGCCTTCTTTTGAAGTGATTTGTTGTATGAATACTAACTATCTCATCATGTTATTATTGTTGTTATGTCGTTTTGAAAACACTAAACGTTTAATTACCCAAGTTTGAGTTTGAGGCAGCCTGCAAACCCACGTGGCACACCATACACCTCACACACACCACACGACATTCTATCACCGATCAAAACCGTTTCAAGGTGCATCGGACCACCACTAACCTCTGATAGCAGCTACGACCTTGCAGAGGTCAGTTTATTACATTTTGGCAAGTTTACAAAAAGGCTACGCTTTCGTAACATTGCAAAATTTTCACTTTGACGATTCATTTTGTGATTGCTTATAACGCTTTCCTTTGAATTCATCATAGTGATACTTGCGATTGTTGCGATCAGTGCGATTTCGAATTTTCACTTATCTTATTGCCTTAATTTCAAATAAAATGACAGGATCAACCCAACTAAGGTCTCAAAAAGGACTCCTTACTAGATATTCTAACATGTTGAGCCGAGATATTTCAAAATATTCCAACAAAATTGATACAGAAAGCTCTCCGAGGCTTTTAACGGAGATGTCATTAGAAGTGAACGCTGATTTGAAACTAGTAAGCGAAGCACTTAAAAACTTCACAAAAAGTGTAGATCAGACTAGCGAGCCACACAGAGGAAGAAAGGGAACAAATCGACGATTATATCGAAAAGGCTTATGTCCTTCTAGAGAAGGCTCACACATTGAGCCACAAAATACAAGCGAAACTGATGTGGATTAGAAGCGCAGAGTGAGTCATCCACAGAGATGAAATGCGCGAGAGGTAGAGCTACCTGCAATCCCGATTCCCACGTTTGGTGGAAGAATCACAGAATTTGAAAACTTCTGGGCACTTTTCAGTGCAAACGTGCACAGCCAGAGGCTTTCAAACTTGCAAAAATTCAACTACCTGTTGCGAAGCCTAAAAGGCGAAGCAAAGGAAGCAATAAGAAGATACTCCGTGACGGAGGAGAACTACAATGCAGCAGTTGAAGTACTGCATGCGAAATTTGGCGATAAATCCAAACTGATCTACGACCTTCAAGTGCGACTTGAGCGAGCCACAGCAAGTGGGACACACATCAGCGATCAACGAAGACCACTAGAATATCTACTGGCTTCAGCCACTCAGTACAGTAAGGAGTTTCCTTGAACGGTTCATTCATCACCCAGAGAACACTGGCAAAAATAGTCTCCAAAGAAAAGTCCTGCAACAACGCGTTGAGGTAGATAATCAAGAAGAGGACTGGTCGGTAAGCAGTTTTTTAATCGTCTTAGATAGCGACTTTAATCCTACAGCCGAAGAAAAAGCCAAAGAAATGTTATGCACCAACGAAGCCTTACAAAATAAAAGTGGACCAAATTACGGTCAAAAACAATTCGAAAAGCTAGCAGACCGACCCCTCTCATGTCTTTACTGCAATGCAGTTGACTTTAAATGTCTACTAATCTCCGATCAAACTGGCAAAAATGACGTCTTGGGCGCATTTGCACTCAATTTTAACTCTTCTACTCGAAAAGAACCTTCTAGAAAATATTTTCTGATCAGGACCCCAACCTCGCTTCTTGGCCGCAACATTGCGAAATCACTATCGTTTGATGACTCTTCGCGATGATTGATAATCCGACTACGCTGACTATTTCTATGCGCCGTTCTTTCTTTACAGCCGCGAAATATCCTTTTTCCGGGTTTGGATACGTAGGGGGATATGACGGTTATTGACCTCGCTTTTTTCTTTCGTTCGACTATTTTGCTTTGCTTCGTTTCACCATAACGTCTGAATTATTCAAATACGATGCTATCGACATCTTTTATCTTGGATTTAATTGGTTCCTTCCGGCGATCACTTGCGAGTTCCCACAAATTTATCGCACTTATCGTTTTTTTTACACTCATTCTAGTGCGCCGTCGCAATGAGGAAGGTTTTCAATGCAGTCTTCATGAATGTACGATTATTACATAATGACTAGCGCTCACTATTTTGGTTATCAACAACAAGACACCTCATTAAAAAAAGGGGAAGCTCCCCATTCTTCTTTTGAAAACCCCTCGCATTACGTTGCAATAACTCCAATTAGTTAATTTCATGACATCCTTGCTTTCCTTACTTTCTCCAAGGAGCTCATTCTTGAAGAGCACAACGTGCGTGCGACTTTGTTTGAATTTTCACGTGATTGTTGACCACTACACCACAAAAGCGTAGATAGTGCCTGACGTTTTTGCCTTGCCTTTCAGTTTCATCACTAGTTTTTTGTTCGCGCTTTTCCGTAAGCCCTGAAAAAAAAAAAAGCAGGAAGGTTGAATCGAATTGTATGTTTACTCGCTTTCGATATGAGAGAGCAACAATTGACGATATTCCTGAAAGTCTGCGACCCTCAAATGCGAAACAACGCACAGTAGAGAAGAAACAAAAAACAGGGGAAAGGGGGGAGGAGAGGACCAATTTTTCAAAGTGGCGTTTCGGCTTCATTGGGAGTTCCTCCAATAAATATATGTTGCAATGCTTAAAACGCGCATCCCATGAGCTCACTTTTTCTCTCCCCTTTTTTCGGTGGGGAATTACATTTCGGCATTGCAGCATAACTATTGACATCCTTGCAAATGACGAAAGCATCGTTATTTCCTGCTCAGAAAACTTTTTTGATAATTTTCTAGATATATCGGAATATTTATTACCATGAGCATATCTCGTTTCGGATTTCGGGACAATTAATGTACTGCTTTTGCAATAAGCGGAAGGTCCCTTTTTTGTGCCCAAGAACTCATTGCCGCCCTGAGGTGTTTTGGCTGGATCGTTACTTGTAAGATGATTTTGATCCCGGTCTATTTCCATTTTATCCATAAAGGAAGTTGAAACTCCGTTCTCATTTCTCATTTGGAAACCATTCTTTCCGTTATCTAGTTATCAAAACAGTTTTGTCTCAGCGTCTTCGGAAAGTCTCATCAGATAAATCTTATGAAAAGAGGTATTCTATTCTCCGTTTTTATTAGGGTCAAGAATCATCCGACTGGTAACTGAATCGTGCTTTTCCAATTTTTTTCTTGCACGTGCAAATATGTCCTTGAAAAAAAAGGGGTCAATCGCCTCCATGCTTCTCATCGAATACACTTAACGCTATAGGCAGAGAATTCGTAGCACTCTTGCATATTGATAAGTCGCCACAAATTACTTCCTTACTTTGTCGATTTGTTCTCGCGATTTCATTACTACGTACTTCACATCCGCTTAAACTACCTAATTTAGTTAGCTAACTGCTAATTTAGTGACAAGCGACCGAATTAAGGCGCAAGATCTGGTAACACACTTAACTTCGAGGTACGAATCTTTGTGGATATATTTCTTATGCAGCGATTTTGGCAAGTACTTTATTTCGCACCTCTCCTTTGTTTGAACCATGTAACTACTAGTTTAGTGTCGCGTTGTGGGCGAGTCAACTAGAACTAAGGTGCAAGATTTCGGTTTCAATCAGCAGTTTGAGGTACGAACGCTGCGAACACCTTCTTATAAAGCGAAATTGCAATCTATCTGATTACTAATTTAGTGTCGCACGTGTGGGTGATCAGTTGAAAGTAAGGCGTAACAATTTCGGTTCTTTGTGGCTACCTTGAGGTACAACATTTGCAATCACAGCTTCACAGAGCGATTTTGCAATCGAGTCTGGCCAAAAAATTGGTGCGATCCCCTCATGCCTGTCAATCTAATATCTCTCATTCGCTGATGAGCTTTGAACTTCTTAGTGCAGGCACAGGACTATTGTTCCTACATGGAACTTAGCAAAAAGTTTTCAGTGTTCAAAAATCACTCACGGCTATGTCCAAGATTGATTGCAAAATCCCACTCCTGCTTTATCGCTTCGGATTTAAGTACGTTTTTATGTTTGATCGTGCGATTATCGTCAGTTCATTCAATTTTGTACAATATTGATGGGAGTCAAAATGCCATCAGGTGTTTTACCCTGTTACATGGAGCTTATAAAACTTAACATTTATTCCGACACATTTGTAGAAGGCAGCGTCTTTTAGTCAATGAAAGGGCAGATTAGATTTTTACTTGCAACCACGCGACAAATAAATTACAAACATTTTCTGTGGAGTTGCTTGAGATCCAAATGCGTCTCTTCTATTCCTTCTTACGGGTTTCAAAAATCCTTCGTAACAATGACATAGTTATGCGAGGCGAGCAATTTCAAGAAACTAACAATATGAAAAACTTCCCAAAAAGTGAAATAAGAACACCAGTCCTTCTTTTACAGACGGAAAACGACGAACTTCGCCGCACGAAACGCAGTTGAAAAAACTCAGAGCCGCACTTCCGCCTCTACCAACACCGGATAAGTTGCACGAAGACATCATCCACTGCTTGTAGTGAAATAATGTACATTACCAAACTTGTTGACAATCTTAGCGCTGATATAACATACTTTTTTGACAACAATGATCCTTGGATAGTTTTGGTAAGAGAAGCTCATGTTAGGGAACTGACGGTTGAGAATTATTCCCTGCTTTTGCGATCGTTGCGAAACACCTTTCTCTTTTGTGTTCTTCGGTGCCAGTAATGATTGCAACAAAAGCAATCTCCGCGAAAGCATGAGAATCCCTGATGAGTACGCCCCAGTCCTATACGAACGTGGCCGGAAAAAGCCTTTCGCACCCCACATCACAAGGAGCCATCGGAAGCATCATTCAGGACTACGAAGAGACGATAATGAACTTGTTCCTAAGGGTGAAAGACGTGAAACGCCGAATGCTCGCTGCAACAACAAGCTCGCCAGGACGTCTCGGACAAATGAATTTGTTATTCACTCAGTGAAATCATGCACAAGCTGGATCAACCGCAAGAAAAGCACGTAATCCGAGACGATCACCCGTCAGGGCACCCAGCAGAGATCATCGTAAACAAGGAAGATACCGACCGATCAAGCGAAACAGCGAAAATACTCGACAATGCGGAATTCATGGGGTCGCTTCACGACGATAACCACAACGACGAAGTAGAAAACGACCAGCAAGACGCTGAAGAGGACAACAATGAACAAAACGATGATCGCAACGAACAAAAAGAAAACGATGATCCAGGCAACGAACAAGAAGAAAACAGTGATCGAGGCGACGAATGCGAAGAAAACAACGAACTCGAGGAAGAAGGTATCTTTGAAGGAAATCGCTGAATTAGAAAGAGACTCGGCGAGGTTCATTATCGCATAGGAGACCTGGCTTGATGAACAGCCGAACATGTCGCTCAAGACTACTCATAGTTGGTGTCTTTCGCAAGGGAGAAAGAACCATGCCGTCCAGTTTTTGTTACCAGCCAGGACATCATATAGCGACTCCTGCACAAGAATCAGAGGAGCCACAGAAAGAAAAGCCTTCCTAGAAGCTCGTGGACGCTGTACGAGACGTTAGCACTTAGAAGGGCTATTTCTGTAGAAAAAATATTTAACCCGGTTTTACCGTGTGGCAAAAAGACAGGAACATGCCCCGGCAATTGCGAAATCTCTCGAAAAGTCGAGAGTCCTCAGCCGAAAAAGAACCATCTCGAAAACATCGCTGAGCAAATGCTAAAAAGGCTGGACGAATTACGTCGATCACTATAAACGACACTTGAAAACGCCACCGTCATTGCCAAAGAAATTTTCAAATGATTAATTTTCTTGAAGTGTGCTACCAACTTCTCGTATAGGCGGCAGTATCCAGACCCGCGCTAGCGATGTTGCACGGATCGGATTGGTGCGGGCGGTAATATCGATAACTGATCTGATTGCGCGCTAACAGAGCGCTATAAAAAGACAGCGCAGCGAGCCAAGGCAACTCTTTTTTCAGTTTTTCTCTCTTCTTGCTAATCTTACGATACTAGAGCCCCTCGAGCAATCTGGCAATCATGCTGAACTAGCGAATTATTCTCAAATTCAACCTCATGACTTTTACGGTTTTATTGATTAGGCTCTATTATTGATCTAGTATCTGATTAGTTTTGTTGCTAACCCCTTTGGGAGCGTTGTTAGTTGATTTGTTAGTGTGTTGTTAGTATCGCCTTCTTCTGAAGTGATCTGTTGTATGAATACTAATCACCTAATAATGTTATTCTTGTTGTTATGTCGTTTTGAAAACACTAAACGTTTATACACCCAAGTTTGAGTTTGCGGCAATCTACAAACCCGCGTGGCACATCATACACACACACACACAAGACATGCTATCACCGATCCAAAATCGTTCAGTATATTATGACAGCTCTAACATGTTCTTATTTGATTAACCAGTTTAGCTCTGCACGCAACCGCGCGCATCACGTGGAAGGCTTTAGAGAAACTGGACACTTGCAGAATATTAGGTCACGTGGCTGAGAAAGTAACAGTAAAATGTTTTGGAAGATATTTCGCTGAAGATTGTCGCGTAATGCGCGCAGTAGCATGCGGAATGAAAATGGTACTTATCATGACTTCGTAAACATTTAGCATTGATATCGAGCTCGGACGATTGAGCGGTTTATAGAATTTCCACACAATTGAAGAATTGGTGGGTGAGTGAAACATAGCCAATCAATCAGCATCTAACCATGATGGAAATTGGAAATATGATGGAAATTCGCTATTAGTCCAAGTTCAGATAGTTTTGCAGCTCAACTTTCTCTGCTTCTTTAGATGAAAGGGTAGGAATGGAACATATTCACGTGCTAGGGACCTGATTTAGTTCAATGAGTGCACGCTCAACTGTCGCTACTTTTATCAGTACAGTTGCCGCTCATACCACTTTCTGTCACCTACATTCAACCCTCGCCACCTTGATCGCTTGCCAGTGATAATTGCAACGAAGTTGGAGAGACCTGCATTCAGACGCTCTTATCATTCCTTGTCATTTGTTATCAGTTCATACTGTTCGCAATCGATGTCCCCGTCCCACCCTCCAAGCAACGTGTAGGAGCTAATATATTTACTGTTACCACGAAGTTTACAACGAAATTAGCAGTACTCAAATTCTAACTTCCTTATCAACCGTTCGCTTGTTATCACTTCTGATCATCCACTATCCGTGTTCCCGTCCCATCCCCTATACCACATGTGAGAGCCAAGGCTCCAATGTAACCGAGGGCCGCAACGAAACTGGTGGTATCCACACTTTGACGCCCCTTATCAGTTCTTATCAGTTGCTACCACATTCGTTCACTCAACTTCTTGGTCCCCGCCTCACCCCACATATCATACATGAGTGCAAACTCTCCACCGTCAACGCGAACGGTGTAACGAAATTGTGGTGACATCAACATTTCGACGTCCGTTATCAGCTCCTATCAGTAGTTATCACTTCCCGCCACCCACTATCAGTGTTCACGCCCACCCCCTATATCCTAGAAGTTTGAGCGCTCTGGGTCCAAAGGGAGTGAAGTTATGAATTTCCGGTCAGACACACACACACACAACCGCTTAGCCGATTATATATAGTAGGATAGCAGAGCGAACAGATGGGTTAACAGACTTCCTCTCGTCGAGCAACAAATCCCTTCATCCCTTTTCTAGCCATTACTAGTTCTTTACGGAGATGAAAAAGTACCTGTAACAGCAATCGCTCCCAGAAGTGTTAATGCTTGACGCGGCTTAGCTGCATTCTATACACCGACTTTTGAACAGTGAAAATGGGGAGCTATACCTCCACTAGTTTATTTCGTGCTTGAAAAACATGTTTTTATGAAAAAACTTTATTATTACTGTGCCCTACAGTCTCGTTGCCGGTAACCGGTAACGAGTCGTATCATCATCTTCATTTCGATTCGACACATCATTTGAATGCTGCCGTGAAATAGTGGATATTGTCTGCCTGGTTTGACCGTCTGTGTTGCCATTTGCATCGAGCTCTTCAACATCAGCCTTCGTGTACAGCGGTGCACTATCAACGACGGTCCAAGATATCAATTGGCAAGTACGCGTAATGGAAGCTGAAGGCACTTTATGAAGGACAAAAACCAATATTACTCATCGTCCATCGTTGCAGAGAAGTGATGTTATGGAATAACTTACCGTCCAACTTTAGAAGAAATTGGGGTTTGTTCTTCGGCCGGACAAAGACGTAATAGCACTGGAACGATTGCAACATTCTCATAAACACTACAATTATAGAAGGCATGAGGGATGAGGGTAAGAATTCCTGATGGATTGATCGCATTTTCTCACACTTTTTCAAAATCTTCAGATCTTTTCTGATCTTTTTCAATTGTTTTAGTTTTTTTAGATTCGTTTTCTACTGCTTCAAAATCGTCGTGTCATTGCGTATTAGTTATCCAATTTCAACCTTCGCCGCTAATCGGATCGACCTCATAATCTTGTGGTTGGAATCTCCAACACTGTCGTGGAATGACGCATAGTCCTCCGACGGCTCATAAAATGCTCGATCTTTTACCATTCGTTGGCGTATGTTGCACTCAATACAAATAGAAGACAATAAAATTACTAGCACAATTACTGAGAGTGTGTGAGCCTTGAAAATTGCCTTTTTGGGAACTGCGTACAGTGATCATTGACATGCTGCACAATATGCCTTATCAATTTATTCCATGGTGGCTCGCTTTCGCTTGATACGATTTTATAGGAGTAGAAACTATAGCATTTCTATATGTGCAAAATTACGCCATCAAGCGGGCACTCTAGTCTGAATAAGTTCCAATACCGTGGTAGTGCCTTCGACTACGGAAGTGGTACACATTTGTACCACCAGTAGTCAAAGGGATACAGGGAAACGATCGCGCTGGCTTGGCCCTAGAGATTGTTCGGACGAGTTAGAGCTCGTCAAGGCAAGGCTGCGAGATCAAAGGCGTAATGGTAAAAAAACTGGACGATGAAGAAACTTCCACGTATACCACGCAACCGCTACCCATCCCTCCAAGTACGAAATGGAGGTGGTGGCGACTCAGAAAGTTTGTCCTGGCCCCTATCACGCCGTAGTTGAGACGCTGTTGCCCCTGAAGAGTGAACTAACGTCTCGGCTAGGATTCCTACCATCTAAATGTTGCTTTCTCACCTGTCCCATCAGATTTCTCGCAACCACATCCTTTAATTACCATTCAACCGGCCCATCATAGAAAAAAACAAAGATAAATATGGAGAGTCAGACGCCACGTTGATCCATTAGTAACAAGTCCTCTAGAGCACTTTTTGCCATACGTGTCATCGTATTTCTCGTTAATTATCCTTTCTCTGCCCTACTTCGGGTAAAGCATGTGAGCCTCTTCTATGAGTACTACTCAAAAATGGTTTTTCAATCTCTACGTCACTCTTACATTAGCGTGACTTCTTGTTTTAAGAAGTGCTGTAACCACGTCAAGGTTAAACTGAGCTGATCTGGCTGGCTGGATGACCATATCACCTTTCTTGCCTAGGTTTCCAAAGGTACTTTACTACTATCTCCTTACTTGAGACAGGCATCAAATCAAAACATTCACAAATTTAAATTGAAGAGATCTAATACCAATACAAGTGAGAATCGGAAGCCGTTCACTTTGACTGCCGCTCCGTGACCGTTTAGAGTTTCCCCGATTATAAAATTTATGACATTGCAATGCTCTAGGAAACCTCCAGAGGATCGGGATCGCGTCGGAGGAGATCGTGAAAATCCAAATTTCACAGGTTGGCCCCATCGCCGGAGACGCTGAGATTCAATGACGGAGTTCAATCAGAGTTGAGTAGATTGGAATTTGATTGAAAAGCTATGATATTTCCTGCGTTGAAGTTCTACTCGACGTATTTACGTTTTCGCGAAAATGAGCAAACTATCGATGTATGGACAAAATGCGAAGCTTCAGACGCGCTACTATCCTGCGCTGATTTAGATAACTAACACCTTACTCGCCCTCTCTTTCCATCAGGCTTACTATGTTTGATATCATTCAGCTTTCTCCACAACGGCTAGCCTTCTCTTTTTCTATTCAGGCCGCACGTTGCACATGTGCTTATCTTCTGGTGCGTCTCTTTCACCAGTGAACTGGCTCCGAGAGTTAGCTCTCTTAAATAGCCAGTACGAGGGTGTTATCTTATCTCTTGTGGATTGATACTGCATGATGGATTGGTTAACCAGTCACAAAAGTTTTCGGTCTCTCACATTACTCTCCTAATCTCAACTTCAGGGCATATGTTGAGTGAAGACTTCTCAGAGCTCGTGTTTCTTAGAAAAGTTGGCTAAT